GCTGAGTCCAGCTCTGTCCCCGGCCTTGTCCCGCTGCCCCTTCTTGGCTTGTTCTCCCCCATGCGCGCGCAGACGCGCAGCTGGAGGTTAGCCGGTGGTGGGAGGAGCCCAGAGGGTCCGCTGAAGCTGCCGCTCCCGGCGGCCCCCCCCCCCCGCCCAACCCTGGAAGGGGCGACCGTGCGCTAGCGCCAATTGACACACAGGCAACTTCTCCAGAGGCCGACAAGCAGCGTTGGAGGAAGAGGAGAGGAAGGGAGATATTTGCTCTTTGGAGCGGGGAAGAAAAAAAAAAGAATTGGAAAGAGACAGTTAAGACCAGTAAAGACATTTCAGCCTCGACTCTAGAATTAATTTTCCCAAGGAAATTGAGTGTAAAGACATGATTGTTGTACATATGTTATTAACAGCAACCACTGGCAATGATAGGGCAGTTTGCCCAGTGAGGAAAGAAAGATCACGAGGGCGAATAAAATCCTCGGCTAGGGACTGCTTTGAAAAACAAAAGTGGCTTTAAAAATCAACCAGGTATCTTTATTTTTTCAGTCCAAGAACTGAGCCAATTGGAAATTGTGGGTGTTCTTAATAGGCGTTCCCTTTTATTTTTCAACCCAAAATAAACAAACAAAACTAGGTGGCCTTGCGATGTTTGTTCAACGCAACCAGAAGACATGGCCTGATTCAGCAGGGCCACGGGGCACCAACCGAGAACCATTTGGAGGACCGTTACAGGAGATCTCATCGGCTGAGGGCTTCGCTGGTATTTTTCTTCCACGTTCTTTCTTCACACGCTAACCCCGAATGCGCGGACTGCAGTTGTTGTTGTTGTTGCTTACGAACATCTCACACCCCTGGGGAATTTCAGAGACCTGCCCTGGAAATCAAGGGCCACATTCTCAACTGTGCAAACCAGGGTGTGTGCGCGTGTGCGCGTGTGCGCCTGGACTACACCCCTAGCAGTGAATGGCCGTGTTCCCGCGGCACCCGCCCAGCCAACCGCTTCTCAGCCCCGCGTCGTGCGAGCTCAGCCTGCGCGCTTGGTTCTGGGACCGGCGCGCG